ATCGCATGGTGCCATATATTTTCAATACACGAATATACTCATTTAATCTAGGCATATAGATGATATATACATATCTATTTTAATTACTTTAATTGCGTGTTTGTTTTCAGAATCTACTTTGTAGATCCTAAATAAGAAATATATATTACACCTAATATCCATTATAATACAAATAAATATTAATACAAATTTTAATACAATGTTTTTCTGCCAGCTCTGTAATTTGCATGTTAAAAAATATTCCTCACACAAAAAGTCCAATATTCACAAGTCTAATTGTTTGCTTCAAACTGAGTTTGCCAATGTTTGTACAATATCACAAGCTTTCAAAAACAAAATTGTCAGTTACAGAATAAATCCTGAATGTTATAAAATTTCACCCGAGTTATTTTTTAGAGATATTTCACATACATCTTATTATCACATTGAAAACATAGTGAAAAAGCTCACATTTTTTAAAAATTAATTTGGAATTATATGTTTCATATATTTTACCTAAAAATAATGAAATATAGATAAAGTCTATTAACAGTAAATATGAAGTACAAAACACAAATTTATTAGACACTTTATTAGAAAAAATCATAAACAAATGTTCGGAGTTTGAGCTCTGTGAATCTGGTTTATCAATAGAGTCCGTAAGTCATTTAGAAATAAATATTTTAAAATACAACCCTTTTAGAGCCGGTTCTTATTTACCAATACCCGAAGAAATTAGTAAAACCAAATCTTGCTTAAACATAGTAAATCACGATCAACATTGTTTTCTATGGAGTATTGTAGCTCATTTGTATTCAGCTAAAAATAATCCTAACAGAACGAAAATTTTAAACACTGCTAATATGTAATTTTCTCCAAGTTTTGCTGATTTTAAATGGTTTGAAAATTTAAATCCAACTGTAAGTGTAAATATTTATGGTTTAGACAAAAAAAAAACCAAATAACTGGTCCGCTATATAAAACCTTGAAGCGAAAAATTATGCATGTCAATTTACTTTATACATAAAAATGATGAAAATCATTCATCAATCATCAATCATTGCTTAATTAAAAACTTTGACAAACTTGTGCTCAAACAGCCAACTAAGCATAAATCTAAAATACACTTATGTGACGAATGTTTTATTTATTTTGATACCGGTCATGGCCGGCATTTGTTTGTTGACAAATAAATGAACATTGTGAAGTAATTCCGTGTTGTGAATTGATAAAAACCAATTGAAATGAGCGCGTAAACTACTGTACTTCAATGTTGTGTATGTGTATTGTGCCTTTTATCAATAGTATACAGTGAAATCGTTGTGTGAAATGTGGTTGGCGTGAAAAAAATACCTTTAATTTTGTAATGAAAATTTTATTTCTTCCATCATAAGTTAGGTATGTCATTAAAATATTCCTTATATTTAAATGATAGTAAATTTATCTACCTTTCTAGTCATATTATAACACATTCCATACAATTATGCAGAATAACGTTTTTTTGCGACAAATTGAATTTTTTCCAATT